GTTGGAGAGAGAGAGAGGGAGGGAGAGAGAGAGAGAGGGGGGGGGGGAGAGGGAGAGAGAGGGAGAGAGAGGGGGGGAGAGAGAGAGAGAGAGAGAGAGAGAGAGAGAGAGAGAGAGAGAGAGAGAGAGAGAGAGAGAGAGAGAGAGAGAGAATTATGTGATAAAAATTCTTACGTATTACTGTCAAATAAAAAGATATTTGGATAAAAACAAATTTTAGACAGTTTTAGGCCCCTTATGAAATACATAAAAAATTATCTTTTTTCTTTGATAAGTAACTTATTGTTTATTGACTGTCAAGGAAAAAATATAATTTTTGGCGTATTTTACAAGTGTACTAAAACTACAATGTTTTCATCCAAGTATCTTTTTATTTGACAGTAACACAAATATTTTCATCATATATGAAATCTCGCTTCGTCACAGTTCAACGTCGCAGGAGGGGGAAGTATTAAAAAGCATTTAGAAATCCATTGGATGTCGAGTGGATATTGTTGGGATCGATTTTATTGTATATAATTACGTCTTTAGGATGTCCTTAGGATGTCCGGGTTTGGATCGCGTATAGAGATCTTATAAGCGGACATAGGGACGTCCTCAGTATATCCTTAGTATATTCTACCGATTTTCACGGATATACCCGGGATGTTTGAAAATCCCTTTAGATATATCCGGTAGACATACTTGGGATCAACTTTTGCTGTGTGGGAAGTAGTCTCGAAATTGAACACATGTCGCGGTTTGCAATTGCAGTACGATTTCCCTCCTGGGTTCGACAGACAAAAACTTCTGGAAGTATGAGTGACAACGTGCTCACGGGCGCGTCGTTCTTGAGAAGAAATTGGCACGGTGCTCCTGAACGGATAAAAGATGACGGTCTCTTATCAATACGAGGTCGCCAGTTCCACCAGCGGTGGATTCACCAGGCTCCTGCTTATGTGGCGCGGTTCCCTCTACAAACTCATCTACAGGGAACTGCTCCTCTATCTGCTTCTCTTCGGTGTTCTGTCCGCGCTCTATCGCCATACCTTCACTGCCGCGCAAAAAAGGTGGACATTCCGATGTTTTCAAGCTCTAAATATGTATAAATCTGTAGATACATACGTAATGTAATATAGAGGACAAATCATTTTGATATTATTAATTTTATCTGTTAAAAGTATTAGACACAAAAATGTAACGAGTACATTTCTTCTATCGTTAACTGATTTGCGTATATAGGTATTCCTAGTAGCGCAGTGCATTGGCTAAACATTGGCTGATATTGTCCAACGTAAAGCCAATAGTGGCCATGAAATAAATGTAAATAGCGAACAATAATAATTATATAATATTAGATTTATATTGAAAGTGCATTAGCCAATATTTAACAATGTAGTAAGAATTGGATCAATATTGGCAATACTAGATTTACATTATTTCCCAATATTGCGCCAATATATTGTGCTACTCTAAGGATATATATATATACGTTTGTTCTATTCTCTTTCTTGAGAGAGACGCCTCAGTGTGACCAATTCTCTTTCGTTGGCTGTCGAGGATTACTTGTACAACGTGTTACAGGGAATTCGAGCAAATTGTCGTCTACTGCGACAACTTGATCAAACTGATCCCGCTGAGTTTCGTCCTTGGATTTTATGTATCCTACGTGGCGCAAAGATGGTGGAAGCAATACACAGCGATACCGTGGCCCGACAAGTGAGTTTGGAAGATAATACTTTTTTCTCCGTTCTCCAATGAAACTTGGAAGCTGGAGTTCCAAGAGCTAATTGCTAATTTAAAGATAAAAGTATGATTCTTTTTTCTTTTCAAAAGCTCCTTTGTAAATTCCTCGTTGCTCTTCTTCTTCCGCAGAGTGATGCATCTCGTGGCGCTCTACGTCACCGGAAACGACGACTACAGTCGGATGTTGCGCAGGGCCTTGATGCGCTACTTAAACCTCTCGCTGATACTCGTACTGCGTTCCATAAGCTCGGCGGTGAAGAGACGATTTCCCACTCTCGATCACGTCGTTGATTCCGGTAAATCGCAGTATCGGTACGGTTAACGTCGTCCTGGTGGCAGTTAAAAATTAACGCGCTTGTTGCAGGCTTCATGACCACGCTGGAGCTCCAGTTGTATCAGTCGGTGCCGAGTAGCGAGTTTAACACCTATTGGATACCGTGCACGTGGTTCATTAATCTTCTCAAGGAGGCACGCAAGAACCACCGGATATCCGATGCGCAAGGTTTAAAGCTAATAATGGAGGTGCGAACGAATCCCGTGCTTTCTTCCTTCGCTCGTTGTTTAACACTTGACGGAAATTGTCTTCATTACGAATCAAGAAGAGAAGTTCTTTCTCTAGCTGTGGACATTATTTTATCTAAGCATCGATAAAAATATAACGCTCTATCAATATTGTTAAAACGAGGTTAAAATCACGCTAAATTGCAGCTATTATATATATATCTGACTTTTTCTTAAAATTTACAACGAAAATGAGAAGTAACTATTTAAGTTACTATACCCATTTGGAAGACACGATCGTCCGTATTGCGTATACGATTTTTCATTTTCTGTTCGTTTTTATCATGTTAATGCGAAACGCAAAGAGCACGATATGGTGCGATTGTATACTGGTAACTAGAAAATCAATCGTTCGGTTAGAGAAACGATTAGATTTTATGGGCGGCTAGCGTCGGTATACGGCGATTCGAAATACATCGTAAACCGTGTCGCAGTCTATCAACTGCACTTTTTATTTCCCGCGATTAGGCACGTGTGTCACAAACGCATTATGCGCTCGCACGAATATCTTAATCGGGACCGCTGTAGATAGTGTTGCTTGTCTCCACGCGTTTAAAAATAAAAGCGGCGAGCTGAGGAGCCAATCTTGGTGTCTCAGCATTTTAGTGTGTCAAAATTAAATATACAATAAATTAATCAGCAAATTTGACATATAAGCAGATTCAGAAAAGAAGAAGCGAAATCTGTTTTTTTTTCTTTTCACCTCTCGTTGTATCTCAGCATCGTTTACTTTAACATCGCAGTTAATGACATCTTTTCCGGTAACACGATTGCTAAGTAAAGTTAATGAATCGCACGACCTCTCTCGTGCTCTAAGATCGATCTGTTTCGTAGGAATTCAATGAGTTTCGGACGAAGTGCGGCCTCTTGTGGAGCTACGACTGGGTGTCGATCCCTTTGGTGTACACTCAAGTGGTGACACTCGCCACCTACAGTTTCTTCGCGGTCGCCCTGATCGGCCGACAGTATATCGAGGGCGTCGAGAGGCAGCTCCAATTGAAGATAGACAAATACGTGCCCATTTTCACGATTCTGCAGTTCTTCTTCTTCATGGGGCTGTTGAAGGTAGCCGAACAGCTAATAAATCCTTTCGGCGACGACGACGAGGATTTCGAGCTCAACTGGCTAATCGATCGCCATACCAAGGTAGGGGATTGATCCGCACTTGTCCGAAAAAGGGAAACGTCGTGCGTTCACACTTATGCGCGTGTATTAGGTATCGTACCTAGGAGTGGACACGCTGATGAACCGCTGTCCGCCGCTCGTCAAGGACATCTACTACGATTCTGAAAACGTGAGCCTGCCGTACACGGAAGCGGCCGCGGCGTACAAGAAGAAGACCTATCGCGGCAGCGTGGCGAATATGACGTCAGTATCACATCCCTAGTAGCACAGTGCATTGGCTAAACATTGGCTCAACACCACCAAATATTGGGCCAATGTTTAACCAATGTGTAGTCAATGCACTCTGCTATTACCCTAGTAGCACAGTGCAGTGGCTAAACATTGGCCCAATAAAGCAAACATTGGACCAACGTTTAACCAATGCACTGTGCTACTAGGGATAGCTCATCGCAATGTTCGTTCCCAGGCTACCTGGGTATCGATCTGAGTTTAAACGGATTAAAGTTACTTAATTTTGTACGAATTGACTTTAATTGCCAAGTTGCTTCTAAAGTGCTCGCGTATTCGGACTCTTATGAGATACTATTTCGTGAGATCTGAGATCCGTTTCAAGTATGAGGACTTTGAACGCTGTGTTCTGTAATTAAGAAATTACGCCCTACTGATTTTGCCCTCGGTCTCTTCAGGGTACCCGAGGAGAAACAGATGATGTTCCTGCCCGGAATTCTGGAAGAGGAGGAGGAATGCACGACGATTCTGACACCGCGCACGTCCACCGCCAGTTTAGCGAACCCGAGCGACAGTCCAGATAATAAAAGGCGGTAAGGCTGTAATTGAGATGTACATTGATGTATCATAATTTTTATGAATTTAGACTAGAAATATAATTACAGTTAACACTATACAAATAAAATTAGATAACTAACTGTAGTTACTTCGATGATAGAGAGTTCTCGACCCTTTCAACGTGTTTTGATCTTTTTGTCAAGCTGTAAATAACGTTTAAACTTTTTAAATAAAAAGTTACCTAAAGTTACACAAGTATAAGTTATGTTATAAATTACCTGGGTTTAATGTTTCTTTTCCGTAGAAGGAAGCCAGGTACTTGTAAACGCAAGGCACTCCAGAGTCCCTTTTCTCTCCCATCTTGTTTCACTATCAAGGAGAACAAGCTTTGAGGAACTCTATTAAGTTAGACTCGTTTGTTTCAGCCAGATCAGCGGGTCCCCTTCAACACCTGCGAAGATGGCTCGCAATTGTTCCGAAACGGTTGTGCAGCTGGATGGTCAAGAGCAGCCGCCGGTCGAAACGGAGCAGCGACGGATAATAGTCGATGCCGTCCGGAAGTTCTCCTCCTTGGCGAAGAGTTCGGCGTCTCGAGCCGGAAGGCCCTTTTTCCCGGTTCTAACGAAATCGCCCAAGCAGACGTTGCGTCCCTGGCCAAGCGCAACGAACATCTCGTCCGTTCAGGCACCGTCGTTTTCAACGCCGATTCCCATGTCGGTCATCGTCGAGGCCGAAAATCCTTGGAGAAAAGATAGTTTGCGGAAGAGCCTGCATCGTCGGCCTTCCGCGGAGGATTCCGAGGGACGACCCAGCATCTCGTCGCAGAGCGAGAAGAACCAGGAAGGTATCATGAACTCGGCGTTCGCCGAGGAGAGGGTGGCCGACGTGCCGGACATCTGCGACTGCGACGACATTGAGGAAGATGACGATGGCTCGTGGTCCGGTCCTTCACACCGATCTCGATGCTGGCAGGTGCCCTGTCAGCAATTGTCGACCCCAGAAACGATCGATATGTCCACGATTGGCGGCGAATCGAGGATCAGCAGTTCTCCGAAGTACCTGATGACCAGGAGGGTTCGGTCGACCAGCGATTCCAAGAAGAAGGGATTCCAGTGGCGGTCGAGGCTATCCGGCAGAGCGAAGTCCCGCAGAAGAACCACCGACAGCATACCCACGGTGGGCGAGGTCCTGAGCCAGACCTGGAGCTCGCCGAACCTGAGGAACTTGGAGGAGCAGGCAAAGACCGCGCAAAGTGTCACAGTTAAACAGGAGGAAGATTCTAAGTTATAAATAACGCAATATTTGGACGATATGTTACTTCTGAACAGAGATGTAAACTTGCGACAGTCTTAAATGAATCTTACCAACGAGATTTTCTCGCAGGAAAATGACCTATGTGTCTGCTAAACTGTTTTCGATTATTACCCAAGCAGACAATTTACGTTTAATAAATGTTAAAAAGTGTTTGGCTGATACGTCTTCATGATATAAATTGTGTAAAAGTACGTATTACACTTTTTATCCTGTGAAAACGTATATTAAACCGACCATATTTTCAACTAGTAAAAAGAAACTTTGCAATAGACGTTATAAAAAAGTTTTACAATGTTTATTAAATAGTTTTAAAAAGATGTTGATTTTAAACGTTAATTTTTTCAACTTACTTGATTAGTATAAATTTTTAACATACATGTATTAAACGTATTTTGAAACTGTGCTACTACATTTATTTTAAAATATATCTGAAGAAGTAATAATAAATAGCGATTACTCGTTGGTTTGACCAGCGATATAAAATGTTCTGTCCACATTGAATGAATTTATAATTATAATTGCGAGCAAGCCTCTATACGCGCACTAGTTATGTTTATGTAAATATTGTAAATATGATAATAAATGTAACATATGTAACATTAATAGAAATAAAACAATTAGATAATTTATTGACATAAGTATCGTCGATATTGTCGACACTAGATTCAATTCTTAAAATTTAATTAAAAAAGTTTTCGTTTAATTTTTGAAAGGAAATCAAAATTTTGCAGACGCAAAGTTTAAAATCTTTCTCGATTTTGAAATTAAACAAAAATTAAACTTAAAATGAACAAGATTCCAGATTCAAATTTTAATATTAAGCTCGAGATTCAAAATTGGAAATTTTTAAGTCCTGAAAATTTAAAACACGCAAGAAAATTTTCATCAACAAATAAAATCCTACCTCGACATGTTACCGTCGATATATTACCATACTCTGGTAAGAACTAACTGTAACCAATATGGTTGCGTGCAGCAGTGACAGATGGTGCCACTTCGAACAGCAACAATTTTTGGCGGCCATCCGTCATCCGTCACCTTACTTGTTCGTCTGTCTCTCGGAATAAGATTGATCTAAACGTTTCTTCAATTTGGACTGCTGAACAGTTTAACAATTTTCAGTTTACGGTGGAAAATCACAATAACAACGGCGAAATATCGCGAGCTCTTCATCGTGAAACTCGCAACGGTCGTCCAACCCGAAGCAGTGTCACTTGCAGTCAGGACCGTCCAGGACTGTCATCAATTCTGCGTCGACGAATCTGTGGAAGATGAATATAGAATGTGTGATATGTAGAGAATTGTTGACACCATCCGACGATGTTTTCAACACACCGTGCGGACACATCTTCCATTTTGCGTGCCTGGTACAGTGGCTCGAAAGGTAGGTACTTAAATACTGCATCGAACACATCTCTCGCAGCTCTTGCCTTGCCTGTTATTCAAGGAGGCTTATATCATTCTCGAAAGTTTTTGTATCGCTCGCGAATAAAAATGTTTAGCCTCTGAAATTAAAGACCTAAGGAGAGTCCAACACTCATAATCGGGCATAGTGCGATTGGCTGATCACCTGTTCCCCATAAAAATTCTGATTATTGAAAACATCTACGAGGATCTGTACTTTTCGTAGGAGTCAAAGGACCGCTGTCTTCATATATATTAAATATATTAAATATTTAAATATAAGATAACTTTTTTACACCGCCACTTTTTAACACTGCTACATGTGTTCCAAAATTAGAAGCTTCACTTATCATTACTACATCATCTAATGTGAAATTGTTTCAGATCCAAGACCTGTCCGCAATGTCGGGAGAGAACGACGGAGCAGAAGATACATAGGATATTTTTCAACATTTCAAACAATGACAGTATCGTAGAAGACCCCGCTTCCCTGCAGTGCAAAATTGATAATTTGAATTTTCAAGTGAAGCTAAAAGACAGCCATATCAATAATCTTGCAGAGGATAAGCAAAAGTTGAAGAAGCAGGTGACTGGCTTGAGACATGAAGTTCAGAGGGTTGAAAGTGAATTAAGCGGCAAGAATGGTGCGATTTACGCGCTTCAAGACCAGATTAAGTTTTACAAACAGCAATGTTCTGATGCAAGCAATCTTGCAAAGGAGAATGAACAATTAAAGCAAAAGCTCGAGCATTTAAAGAAGTATGTTTTTTTTCATAGTATTTCGCTGTAAGTTTTAGAGATGTATATGCAGTTTTCAAATTTGTATTTAATCTCGATTGTTGATCTTATAGCATACAGAGTATCGTAGATCAATCTGAAAACGAGGTGGATGTGGATGATGTAATAATGAAAATAAGAGACGTGCCCAAGCTGCAAACATACGTAACAGTGTTAAGGAGGTATTTTATATATTAAATATATTTGATATTATTTGTTGTATATGGAGGTATAGTAAGACAATAATATAGATTAACTTACTGAATTTTTCAGGGAACTGAAGAAAATGTTTGACAAGAGCAGAGAAGTTAGGGAGAAGTATATGAAATTACAAAAAGACTTCTCGCATGTTTCTATGAGAAACAAGACTTTAAGAGAGGAGTGTGCTAAGCGAAAGTATGTATGTTCTTGACACACGAAATCATTGTTTTCTTAGAATCATCCTTCCTAAATTCTATTACTACCACATGTTTTTAGAGACGTGGAAGATCGATTAATGGTCTGTGAGACCGAGAAGATATCTTTGCAATCTCAGCTTCTGGATATGCTAGCAGATTCACGTAAATGTGTCTGTGATAAAGCATCCGTGGTAAAGCAAGCGGACTTAACATCTGATAATGTTGAAAAATGTACTGCAGCGGTGAAAAAGTGTGAGACAAAACTTAAAGACACTTTAACACTCAAAGAGACTGATATTGTCGATTTAGTAAGTAAATTAACTTATTGTTTTATTTCAATTAAACAGTATCTCAATGAGAGGTATTATTTCTTATTGCAGGACAGTACCCAAAATATTCCACAGAATGAAAAATCACAGAGTTTATTTTCGACGAGGGAGCATGCTATAAAGAGACAGAGATCTAGTAACAGTTTTAAAATTCCTTCGAAAGTACCTTCAATACTTGCAAAAAAATCGAGATTTGATCAACTAAGTCAAGTGAGCTGTCTTGCACTTATATTTAATATAGTGTCATTTGTATTTCTCAAAGTTCAATATTTTTTTATACTTATTTTAGGAAACTACCAGTGGCCATGGCATGAGTTTTGATGGCTTTGGAGGTCATGCCAAGTACGACATATTTCCTACTCCTATTCGCAGTTCCCAAATAAACGGCAAGAATAGTGTGAATCGTACTTTTACCAAGCAAAAGGATAATAAATAGTAATGTTTAAATACAGGTTAATTGTAAAAAGAGAATAATTGAAAAAAATGTAACTCAAAATAAAGAGTGCTTCCAATCTGGGGAAATTGGAACTGGAACTGGAATTAAATATTATTTATACATTATTTAGGAAAGACTAGGCATTTATAAATTTTTTACTCTGAAATTTAAACAACCACTGTATTAATTATAATTTTATTACAAATACTTTATATGATTATTAAATAAATAATTTTTATTCATTTACGTGTGTATGTATATCATTTTATAGATATATAAATTTATATAAATTTACACATCGCTTAAATTTACTTAAATTATACCGATGCGCTGTCACGATATCTTTCACGAAATTTCTATCTGTACAATAGCGTTACAGTCCAAGTCAGACTTAGGTCTCCTCTAGTCGACAGTATCGTAGAAGAGCGCACTTCCCTGTAATACAAATTTTATGATTTGGACTTTCAATTGAAGCTGAAAGATGTAATATCAATAATCTTACAAAGGAGAATCAAAAGTTGAAAATGCAGACGACTAGCTTGAGACTTGAAGTTCAAAGGATTGAAAGTGAGTTAAGCAGAAAGAATGGCGCGATTCATGAACTTCAAGACCAGATTAAGTTTTTACAAACAACATTGTTCCGATGTAAATACTTGCAAAGGAGAATAAACAATTAAAGAAAAAGCTGGAGCATTTGAAGAAGTACGCCTTTTTCATAATATTTTGCTATAAGTTTTAGAGATGTTCAGTTTTCAAATTTGCACTTAATCTCGCGATTAAATGGTGATATTATAGCATATACAGAGTATCATAGATCAATCTGAAAACGTAGATGTGGATGATATAATAATGAAAACAAGAGATGTGTCCAAGTATATTCGCTGTATATGGAGGTACACTAATAAAAATTTGAACCTTATTTTACTGTGAAAATTGGTGGTCATTTTTAACCTTCGAATTACGCTGTTAAAATACGAAGTGATTTATAATTTTACTTCAAAACGTTAAAATTACCATTCAAATGAAATTAAGTTTCCGTTAAATATTTTTTCAGTTTACAGTTTGATGTTAAAAATACATGATATATTGTAACATTCCCTTTAAAATAGTAAATTTACGGCGCGCACAGCATACTAGGATCACGAAATTCTCTATTGCGCACACTCCACTTTACTGAAATACTGCGATATTACAAACAAAAGAGTAAAATTCCATGTCGGACTGCAAATTTATTCAGAATTACTCCGTATACAACATGAAGACTTTGAGACAGACTAAAATCGAAATACAACGAGTTTATTCCACAATACCTAAAACAAATGTGATATAACTCGCACGGAACTTAAAGTTCATATACAGGGTGCTACGCAAGACTTTGACGTCCGGTCATGGGAAGGTAGAGGGGACTAAGACAAACAGAAAAGTATTGTACTATTTTGCGCTTGGACGAATAGTTATCGAGATACGAAATTTTAAAAATCGCCGTATTAGCCCAACCTACTGGCGAATGTAAGCGCGCGGTGAGAAGCGTCGGCCTAGCGGCCCCGCTCGAGGCGGTGTTCGGCGAGG